TCCCTCTCTTCCACTTTTATTTTATTTTATTTTTTTTTTGAGATGGAGTCTTGCTCTGTCGCCCAGCCTGGAGTGCAGTGGTCGGATCTCGGCTCACTGCAAGCTCCCCCTCCCGGGTTTATGCCATTCTCCTGCCTCAGCCTCCTGAGTAGCTGGAGCCACCTCGCCCGGCTAGTTTTTTGGTTTTTTTTTAGTAGAGACGGGGTTTCACCGTGTTAGCCAGGATGGTCTCGATCTCCTGACCTCGTGATCCGCCCGTCTCGGCCTCCCAAAGTGCTGGGATTACAGGCTTGAGCCACCGCGCCCGGCCTCCACTTTTCTTTCTTTCTTTTCTTTTCTTTTTTTCAGATGGAGTCTCCTGTCACCCAGGCTAGAGTGCAATGGCACTATCTCAGCTCACTGCAATCTCCGCCTCCCAGGTTCAAGCAATTCTCGTACTTCAGACTCCCAAGTAGCTGGGATTACAGGGGCCCACTACCATACCCAGCTAATTTTGGTATTTTTAGTAGAGATGGGGTTTCCCCATGTTGACCAGGCTGGTCTCGAATGCCTGACCTCAGGTGATCCATTCATCTCGGCCTCCCAAAGTGCTGGGATTACAGGCGTGAGCCACCACGCCCGGCCCGTCTTCCACCTTTCTAGGATGGCCTCTCTGCGTTCTCTGCACCACAGAAGGAGAGGTTAGCATGTCTTTTGTACCACACAGACAGTTCCTTCTGAGCCCTGGCATGCATTGGCCATGAGGAACCCTCTAGGGAGAGGCTGAGTTCCTATTCCCTAGCTCCCCTAGGGAGCCTCAGCAGAGGATCCCAGTGCAATCCTCCCTCTGGACACAGCCTGACTTTCCTCCCCATCCCACCGGTCCCCAAACCAAAATAAGACTCCACCATTTTCAAAAAAGACCCAAAACCAAAATGAAACTCAACCCCACTAGAATCTGGAATCCCAGACAGACACCACAAGGAGTGACTAATTCCTGCTTTAAACCAGGGCACAAAGACACGGGGAACAACGCATGCCCCGTGGGGTCACTTCCACAGTCGGCTTTGGGTGGGCAGGAGTGACAGCCCCCACCTGCCGGGCAGGCGGGAGGTGTGTGTTGAGGGATGAGTGGGGAGCTGCACTGCCATCTGGTGGCTCACGTTTGCTTAGCAATGAAACAGCAAATCTGGTAAACTATGGGGACTGTCCCTGCATCTGGACAGTCGAACTTACTGGGAAATGTTGGGGAACCATCATTTTTCCCTCATGAATTCATTTTATCTTATTTTTTATTTTTATTTTTGAATTGTTCATCTTTTATGCATATTTTCCTAAATTTTATATAGCAAATAGATGATAAAACCACCACTACACTTCCTCAATTTTATAAGTTCAAATCAGATACGAGACTATTGTAAAGCTACTATTCTTATCTGTTATAAGAGGTGATTTCTTTTCTTTTCTTTTTTTCTTAAGACGGAGTCTTACTCTGTTGCCCAGGCTGGAGTGCAGTGGTGCGATCTCAGCTCACTGCAACTTCTGCCTCCTGGGTTCAAGCAATTCTCCTGCCTCAGCCTCCCAAATAGCTGGGATTACAGGCATGCACCACCATGCCAGGCTAATTTTTGTATTTTTAGTAGAGATGGGGTTTTGCCATGTTGGCCAGGCTGGTCTCAAACTCCTAACCTCAGGTGATCCACCTGCCTTGGCCTCCCAAAGTGCTGGGATTACAGGCGTGAGCCACTGCACCTGGTCACTCATGAATTCTTTTTAAACTGCACACAGCTTCCCTACCCTGAGGGGATCGATCAACAGAAGGTCCCTGCCTGGTGCCAAGTGTTGTGTGTCATCTCCCTGAAACTTCCTCAAAGCCCCACGGGCTATACGGCCTTGAGTCCCATTTTCCGGGGGAGACACACTCTGAGAAAGGAAGCTCCCCACGATGTAGCTGGAAGCCGGGGGCTGTGGTTTGCACTGGGTCTGCCTCCTGGGAGGGTTGCAGGTCCCAGGATGAAATCACTTATTGTCGGACCAGACAAGCTAGAGCCAGGAAGCCATGAGGCAGGACATCTCCTGCTTGCATGCTGGAGATAAAGGCTGACTCGAGGACATTCCACAATAACCTCACCAGAAATCCCTTCCCAAGGACTGCAGCAACGGAGATAAGATGCTCTCCAAAGAATGCCTGCCCAGTGACGGGGTCTCCACCAACGAATGGACCCCAGCTCCGGCCTCGAGTCTCTGCAGCCGATGAACTCTGCTTCTAGACAGCTTATTTGAAAGGTTTTTGCTAAGAAGAGCTTCCCTTTACGTGCTCCTCTTCGGGTGCACATATGGCTTGCCACAGCCATGCATCTCAGATTAGAATCCTCTTTTCCGTACATTCAACATATTTGGAGATACTTTTCTCCGCTTTGTTTTTTAGGTCGACCCTCCTAAAAGTAACTGGGTTTAATACCATGAGTGACCCTAGATGGTGCGTGGAAACACAAAAATGTGCACACTTATACGTGACCTGTTAAACTTCCTGAAAGTTCAGCCCTTGAGCAGATGACACACTGGTGGATAGGAGGCCCCCTGCGCCGCCTCCTCCCAGGCCCTCACACAACTAGCCCTGCTTCATGTCCATTCCTGACTGTCCAGCCAGGTGCTCTATTCTTGCCTGTCTTGTGTTCCTCCTTCCGTTTTTTAAAATTTTTATTAATGTTTTTCAGAGGGAGTCTCGCTCTGTCACCCAGGCTGGAGTGCAGTGGCACAATCTCTGCTCACTGCAACCTCTGCCTCCTGGGTTCAAGCCATTCTCCTGTCTCAGCCTCCCAAGTAACCGGGACTACAGGCGCACACTGTCACACCAGGCTTTTTTTTTTTTTTTGTATTTTAATAGAGATAGGGCTTCACCATGTTGCCCAGGCTGGTCTCCAACTCCTGAGCTCAGGCAATCCGCCTGCCTCTGCCTCACAAAGTGCTGGGATTACAGGTGTGAGCCACCACGCCCGGCTTATAGCAAAATTTTGGAATAAAAGAGTTTTGGTCATTGCTCAGGGTTTAATCAAAGAGGAATTAATTTGCCTTTGGATAGGAGAATCATGCATAGCCCGATTTTAAAAAATGCACAAAGATGGCCAGGTGGCTCACCCCTGTAATCCCAGCACTTTGGGAGGCTGAGGCGGGTGGATCACCAGGTCAAGAGATTGAGACCTTCCTGGCCAACATGGTGAAGCCCATCTCTACTAAAAATACAAGAAAAAAAAAATAGCTGGACATGGTGGCGGGCACCTGTAGTCCCAGGTACTCAGGAAGCTGAGGCCAGAGAATCACTTGAACCCAGGAGGCGGAGGTTGCAGTGAGCCAAGATCACGCCACTGCACTCCAGCCTGGTGACAAAGCAAGACTCCATCTCAAAAAAAAAAAAAAAAGCACAAAGACGTTCACTGGAGACAGTAAAATCTAATCTCCCCACTGGATGGTTCAGTTAAAGGATTGAGGTCGAAGTTCTTTGTCTTAGACCTGGGTCTGTTGGATGGCAATAAGCAATTTCATAACCTGGTTTGCTCTCTTCCCCTTTCTAAGGGGCAGACCCTCTCCTGTCTTGCACATGTTAATCACACATTTTAAGGCACCAATCTGAGACAAAGTAGGGGGTTAATAAAAGGTCAAGGTAGTCAATCCCAATCTTGTGGCCCCACCAGCTCAGAACACACAGCCCTCCAGTTCAGGCCTGGTGCCATGATGGAAAGCCAGTCACTTACTGTGGCTGCTCCTTCTTTCGGCCAGGCCTTAGCTTCCCCACTTGTAACCCAAGGGAGCTGGTCTGGACAATTTCTAAGGGCCCTAGAGTCTATGCAGCCCATCCCGCTCCTATCCCTTTCGGAGGTTTGTGCTCTACGCTTCTCTGCTGGAAAGGTAATGGTAGAAGTCATCATTTCTGGAAACTCAAGAGATTTCATTCCTTTTTTTCCTTCTTGGGAAGAGGAAAAAATGCACAAAGTACAGGACCTATGGCCACGATGGAGAAAATATTTTAAAAGTTTGTACAACCTGATCACTGATCTGTCGGCAAGTCACAGGAAACACACTTTCTATAAGATTCCGTCTAAAAGTGTCCATCCAGTTGTCAATGTGGGACGTGGCTGTTTGCTTTAGGTACATCTGGACAAGAACATTTAATACGGAAATGCCTTTTCCCATCGCCAGTGACTTGATAACAGTTCCCATCGTGTGCACAGCACTTTACAGTTTAGAATGCACTTCCACATTCAGTATCCCATGAGGTTCCCACAGTCAGCCTGTGGAAAGGGCGGGGTGGAGGGGATGGGTCCTGTTTTGCAGATGAGTAAACCGAGGCTCAGGATGGTGAAGCAACCTGCTGTCAATCACCGAGAAATTCCAGGAGGAAAGAGAGGGGAGACCACGTGGCCCTGATTCCTGCTCCATGGCCCAAGCAAGCTGCTCCCTGCACACCTCCCAGGCAGGTTCACGTGGAGCAGAGCCGGGCATCAGCCCCTATTCGCTTATGCAACAAATCTCTGTCACTGAAGGCAAGGTCACCCATCCCATCATCAGAAATTCTCAAACACAAGACTAAAGTCTCCCTAAGGAATAAACGAGTGATTCACGTTTGTTCTGTATTCCAAAGATCAGGCCTGGATCAGACTGTGGTTCGAGAAGCCTCTGTCTCTCACCATCTTGGCTAGAGTCACTCTGGCTGCATAACTGAAGGCGCCACCACCAGGCTCTTGGCTACACACCCCCATCCCAAGCCCTGGCTGACGTGCATCAGCCTCGGCGTCACAACACACAGAAGTGTCCTTACTCAGACACACCCTTCATCGTAATTTATAAGAAGAGGACTCTCAGGAGGCTGCTAGTGAATTTGCATTTAATAGTCAGACTGCTAAGGGCCTTGGTGGTGCCTTCACTGCATTTATCAGAACACAACAAAAGGATGCATTCAGAAGCAGATGGGTATTGACAGGCATGCGGGGCAAACCACAGCAGCGGGAGGAATCCAACCGTACCATGCTGTCTGTAGATAGGGGGTTTCCTATAGATGTTATCTTTTACGCCAGTGTCTGGGGAAGAAGAAAGAAGAAAAAAAAAAAAAGGAGAGAACAGGAGGGTAAGCAGCAAGTTGTGATGGTTTCTGTTCTACAGCTTTTTGTAAGCAACAAGCACTCACCCAGATTTAGAATCACCAGGCAGGAACTGGCACCCAGCAAGCGACAGACACCCAGGCCCCAGATCAAGCCTCCCTGATTCCAGATGCCACCCCCATCTGCAGGGGATGGGGCAGCAGCCAGGAACCTTGTGGCCCCCCGGGAAGTGCAGCCAGCTCAGACAGCCCTTTTCCTTCACCCCATTCCCAGGAGGACAAGCGCGTCTCCCTGCCGTTTGTGGGACTTTGGAAGAAACTCAAACGCACATCGGTTTGGGGTTGTGAAAACCCGTCTGATGGTTTTAAAGAATCTCAGTGTCTGGGGAGCAGTGGAGGAGCCTGGAGTGTTGTCTGGCACCTGCTGAGTAAGGCAAGCTGACAGTTTGGGTGTGGCCAGACGCTGGGTGTGAGGAGCCCAGCCGGTGTGTCCCGGAGCCTACCTGGGACGTGGAAGTGGCGAGGCGCCTGCTGGTAGGTGGAGGGGGGCGGCTTGCTGTCAGAGAGCACGGAGAGGCTGGGGGTGCTCCGGCCACTTTCACTGCCTCCAGACGGAAGGGCAAAGGCAGCAGATAGAAGGGGAAACGGGAAAGCAAAGTAGAATATTTCAAGCATGAAAAGCTTATTCGCAGCGAGCCCCGTCTCTCCTGTCCAGTGGAGCGGCCCAGACCCCCTGCCCAGGGGAGGGAGTGTGGGCCTCATCCACATTCCCAGACTGTGTCCAAGGACTTGCTAATCCAACCCTGAGCTGAACTCTCTCCAGGGTTCCAAGGCAGAGGAGCGACACTGCTGCGGGCACACGGCTGGGCGGTGAACTCAGAACACCTCAGGGGGCTCACTCCATCTGCACCCCTGCGTCCTGGCTGGTGTTTGAATCCAGCCAACTGCAAATTCGCCAAAACAAAGGCCCCTCTTCCTAATTATCCTTGTATATAAACATGCTGTTTTCCTTGAGAATCTACAAATTAGCCATTCAGAATAGGATTAAAGCACTAAAAGGATCAAAATTATCCTTAAAAGCCATTGAGTAAAATTTTTCCAGCTGCAGAAAAAAAGAATAGTATCCATCCATTACCACATTTTTTTTTTTTTTTGGGACAGGGTCTTGCTGTGTCACCCAGGCTGGAGTGCAGTGGCATGATCATGGCTCTGCAGGGTGCAGGTTCCACCTCCTGGGCTCAAGCTATCCTCCCACCTTGGCCTCCCAAGTCGCTGGGACCACAGGTGTGCGCCACCCACCGCGCCTGGCTAATTGTTTAAATGTTGTAAAGATGGGGTTTTGCCATGTTGCCCAGGCTGGTCTTGAACTCCTGGGCTCAAGCAATCTGCCCACCTCTACCTCCCAAGGTGCTGGGATTACAAGCGTGAGCCACCGTGCCCTGGCCACATTCTTAAATACAACTCGTTTTGGGCAGATTAAATGGAAAGCATCCTCTGACCTTGCTTCAATTGCTGAGATCACCTGGAACTATAATTCTGTTTTGTGAACAAGGTTGGATTATCAAGTCACGCATTCAGAGGGCTGAGGTGACCTGGGTAACGCCCCTCCCCCCATACCTGTTTGGGGAATGAGTTGACAGACAGATGCAGGGTGTTGAACGCTCGTGATGAGAAGGTGTACGCTCGCTACAGAACACACTCCAAGGCCCCGTTCCTCCCGCCCGCCAGCCCCAGGAAACCCCCTCAGCACTAAGCAACGGCTGCAAGAGGAAAGGCGCTCTTGACCTGAGAACGTTCCCTCAAGCTGCACAGCCTTTCAGAGCAGCAGGACCCTGCGGTGACACAGAAATGAAACAGAAACGGAACTTCTGCAGTGGGTGAGTGGTGTACTGGGCCTGGAGGTGGACTGGCCAGGAACCCCGCAGTGGACTCATGAGGAGGGCTCGACAGACGCCGACCCACAGGGGGCTCTTGCCTGGTGGTGGGCTGTGTGCAGCGGGAGGTCACCGAGGAGCAGGGTGGCTCCAGCTAGGCTGATGCCATAGAAGGGACTGTAGACTCTAACTTTGAGCATTTTCTCACGCCTGGGCATGGGTGCTGATTTTGCCTGTCAATGCTGATGGAGCATCAGATAACTGCTCTTCCCTTAGCGACCTCCCTCCAGAACAGCATGGAAACTTCTAGAGCCTCAGTCGGCTCTACAGGTGCCCTTGCTGGCCGTGGCACCCTTGCTGGTCGGGTCATGCTCGTCAGGTTTCTCCACGGTGGACTCCTGCACCTCCCAGTGGCAGCAGGGGCCTCACAGCAGGGAGACCGGACTCAACGTGCCAGGAAAGGACACCGCGGGTCCCTCCTACCGACTACGGCTGTGCTAGACCCATCCCCAGCAGCAGCAAAACAGGGCGGGTTTTAAAAACTGCACCCATACGAACTCTGAACAGAGGAAGATGGTTCGCTTCCGGCACCGTCTCCAAGCTGCATGTGCTCTTGGCACAGTCCGTGGACCTGGGAGGCCTGGAAGGGTTTGTTTCTTCCCATCTGGAATCATGGCTCCTGATCTGTCTCGACCCCCACTCAGTGGGCTGAGGATCTAACACATCACAGGGTACCTGTCCCTCCCCAGTTCCCCGCCACAGGGCAGCATCCCCTGAAGTTTCAAACCAGAGTCTGTGGACACATGTGCATGTCTATTTGAGGAGGGTCTGGAGACTCATCAGCTTTCATCAGATGTTTGGAGGGGCCTGAGGCTGCAGGGAAGCTGGGGACACAGCCATGGTGGCCCACCTCACTTCTGCCCCCCGGGGCCCTCTAACACCAGCCCAAGTCCTGCCGCCTCGGTCCCTCCCTCCCAGCACCCCACCCCTTGATGAGTGTCCTCTCCAGGGCTTCCCACCTGCCCAGACCCTTCCTGGGTCCAGGTTCAGGCTCTGCCTCCTCTGCTCAGCCTTCTGGAAGGACTCGGTCTACGAGGACCTCTCCCTCCTCTGCACTCACGCCTGCCTGCTCCCTGTGAGGCTTCGTTGGAACAAAATGCATTGCCAGCTTCTACCTGGAGCACTGTGCTGCCAGGCTCACATCCTAGGGGGCTTCTGATATGCTCCAGAGGGGGGTGTGTCAGCATCCTTTAACCTGGGATGGTCCCTGTTAGCAGAGGAGCAGCCTCAGCCCTTTTGAAAAGTCTTCCTTCTCTTCCTCTTCCTCCTCCACTTTTTCCTTTCTCCTCCTCCTCTTCCTCCTCCATTTTTTCCTCCTCCTCCTCCTCCTCTTCCTTCTCTACTTTTTCCTCTTCCTCCTCCTCCTCTCCTCTTCCATCTTTTTTTAAATTTCAGTAAATGTTTCATTTGGAACAGCTTCAGGTAGTCCAGGGGTCTCCCGTACCCTCCCCAGCCGGCATCCCTGCTGTCCCCTCTCCCAGCACTAGGACATGCCCAAAGATTGGTGCCACCTGCATGCCACATAGGATTCGGGTTTCCCTGGGTGTCACCTGATGTTCTTCTGCTCCAGGATCCACCCAGGAAACATGATGTTTTGCTGGCACGTCTCCCGAGGCTCTTCCCGGTTGCGACCTTTTGCAGACGTTCCTTGTGTTTGAGGACTCTGGCAGTTTTGAGGAGGGCTGCTGAGGGATTTTGCCTGATGTTTTCTCATGGAGATACTGGGCTTACAGGGTTGGGAAGGAAGCCCACGAGGTGAAGTGTCCTCACCACGTCCTCTCAAGGGCACCTGCTGTCAGCAGAGGGGATCACTGACCGTGGCCGCCTTGCTGACCGGGTCATGCTCGTCAGGATTCTCCAGGGTGGACTTGCTCCTTCTCTCCCCTCCCACATGGCGCTCTCGGGAAGGAGCCACTCTGTGCAGCCCACGCTTGTCCACACGTCAGGAGTGCGAGTTACAACCCCCTCCTGGCGGACAAGGCATCTGCTCACGTTATTTGGAATTCCTCTGTGTGGGAGATCTCGCTTTCTCTCCATTTATTTGTTTACTCAACATTTATGTAGATCCGTGTGGACTGACTGCTCTTGCTATTATACTGTAGTTTACAATCCAATGCCACATCCTTCATCTTGGTGCTCCCAGTGGCCCAGCGTGTCCCTGGTGCTGGCTCAGCTGGTTCCTGTGGAGCCTCCTCCAGGTGACGCCGCAGAGAGGCCAGCTGGCGGCCACGGGCAGGCCGGGTAGGATGACGCCCATACTGCAACGCACAGCCACATCCTGGGTCCTCAACCACAATCACCCTGAGGACGATGCTTCAGGGATGAGGCCCTTTTGCAGCTGAGGGAATGGCCGCTCAGCACGATGAAGAGGCACTGTCGGGGTCCGGGCAGTGGAGGGTGCGGGCCAGACCTGAGGCTCCATCCCAGGGCCCCTCCCTCCTTCCTTCTCAGGCCAGGGGTTCAGAGTGGGCCCACCGCTCAGCACATGGAGGCTGCCTGGCCAGCAGCCTCAGCAGCACCAACTCCCCTCCCAGCCTGCACCTGCCTGTCCCTGCTGCCAGCTCCTCTGCAGGGGACCCGCCAGGGACTGAAATTCACACAAAAGTGCCCACGGCTGTGGCCAGCACCTCTCCGGAAGCTGGGTCTTGGTGGGAAGGTGTGCCGGGGGTGGGGCCCTGCCAGCATTCGGTGGGGGTGGGGCCAGGCCTTGCCTCGGGGAGCCGCCCCCCTACAGTGCTGTCCTGAGGGAAGTGTCCACTGAGAGGGGCCAGAGATGCCAGAGGAGCCCGTGGAGCAAACAGGAAGGGCTTTCCCAGAGGGCAGGCGACGCTGCGTGGTGTCCAGCTGACCCCCGGGGGCTGCCACCAGGAGGTCCTAGGCTGGGACACACTGGAGCCCATGGCTGCAGAGGAGGACAGGCGCCTTCGTGTGGCCTCCGAGGTCGACCCAGGACCTGAGGGTGAACACACTTGTGAACCCCTCACTGGAGCCCCGCGTAGAAGCCTGACCTTGGGCTCTGCTGGAAGGAGCTTTGAGGGCCACGTTGGGTTTTGGCCAGTGGTTTTTTTCTGAGCCTCAGTTCCCTCGGGAGTATGTTCTGGAAAGAGGGTGGGTGTTCCCAAGGTCACGGACAGCCAGGGGAGTTGAGTAGGGGCAGAGGATGGGGGTGCCAGGCACCCCCACACCGGACACCAGAGGGGAGGTCAGGCGGCTTTGTGTGATTTTCCTTTTTTCTTTTTTTTTTTGTGAGATGTACTCTCACTCTGTCGCCCAGGCTGGAGTGCAGTGGCTCAGTCTCAGCTCACTGCAACCTCCGCCTCCTGGGTTCAAGCAATCCTCGCGCCTCAGACTCCCTAATAGCTGGGACTACAGGTGTGCCACCATGCCTGGCTATTTTTTTTTTTTTTAATTTCTAGTAGAGATGTGGTTTCACCATGCTCGCCAGGCTGGTCTCGAACTCCTGACCTCAGGTGATCCACCCACCTTGGCCTTCCAAAGTGCTGGGATTACAGGTGTGAGCCACCGCGCCTGGCCTCGTGTGATTTCTGAATGAAGGGCACTGGCAGGCAATGTGGCCAGGGGAACCAGGGCAGAGATGGGCATCAAAGAGGCAAAAACCTGTTCCCAACCAGGGGAGGTCTCAAAGGGATGGTGCCTCTTGGCCCCAGGAGATGCCCTTGGAGGGGCTGTGGCATAGACGGCTTTGGAGCCGCATTGTGGTGGCGGGGTGGGTAGGTGGGCAGCCTCCAAACTCTCTCTTCTGCTACAAGGCGTGGAAGGAAGGGGAGGGGCTGCCAGTCCTTGGCTTCTCTCCTTAGCTGTCTGGGGAGCTGAGGAGGGGGCTGCTCCCCAGGGGGCCTGTCCTGGGCCTTCCTCACCCTGAACTGTAAGAATTAGACGGTGGACACTCAGGACGGGGCCGGGGGGGAGGGTCACCAGGGCCGGCTCTGGCTCTAGGCCCCACAGAGGCTGCTCACACGGGCTGCCTGGGAAGTGGGGTGAGCCTGCCCTCGGCTCTGGCCATGCCCCTCTCAGGGACCCACAGCTGGGACAGCCACACCAGAAGGAGGGCTGAAGGTAGGAGGAGAGCCAGGTGTCCAGGGCCTCCTGGCACAGAGCAACAGGAGCAGCAGTATCTCCTGGGGTGACCTGTTGTGACTCACTCAAATGGTTGGATTCACTCTGGGTTTTGGGAGTCCCCTCTGCCACACGACTGCCGTGGACCACACACAACAAAGGCCCTGCTGGCCATGCTTCTGCTCTGGGGAGGTGCCCTTTCTGGCTTTGCTTCTTTTGTTTGTTTGTTATTGTCTGAGACAGGGTCTTGCTCTGTTGCCCAGGCTGGCATGGAGTGGCACGATCATAGCTCACTGCGGCTTCACACTCCTGGGCTGAAGCAATCCTCCCATCTCAGCCTCCCAAGGAGTTGGGATTACAGGCATGCACCACCATGCCTGGCTTTTTTTTTTTTTTTTTTCAGACAAGGGGTCTCACTAGGTTTCCCAGGCTGGTCTTAAACTCCTGGCCTCAAGTGATTCTCCTGCTTTGGCCTCTCAAAGCAGTGGGATTACAGGTATGAGCCATTGAACCCGGCTGAGGACTTTGCTTCTTCTCAAAGGAGTCAGATCATCCCAAAGCTGTAGGGACAGGTCCCCAGAAAAATGAGGACGGCCATGTCCATCAATGGCCAGGAACTCTCTTCTCAGTAGGCCATGGGGCCTGCCCAGAGCAATGATGATGAGGTACACAGAGAGGTGTGCAGGTCCGAATGAACCCCGTTTGGTGACCATCCAGTGATGGAGGGTCCAGCTGCCTGCCCCACCTTCTCACTCCCCGTGGCCTGGGAGGTTTTTCCAGAGACATGCCCCCTCAGCAGCTGCTCAGGATGGGGAATTATTGCATTGCTTGGGGAACTGGTGAGAACATCGTCGCTGCCTCCTCTAATGCTCTGAGTCTTTCTGTGGTGTGCTGGCCAGCTGGGGCTGTGTAACAAAATACCACAGCCTGCGTGGCTTAAACAACAGGCATATTTCCCCTCACAGCGCTGCAGGCTGGACATCTCTGAGCCAGGTCTGGCAGGG